AACCACACGTCGATGTGTTTCGTGCGACCTGAGCTGAGAGGGTTCTGCACCAACGCTATGACCCCCTGGTTGTCCTCAAGGACCTGGATGCTGCTACCACTGGTCTCTGGGGCAACAAACGAAAGCTCAGCACGCAAAAACAACGCCTCCTCGACGCCCTCCCCGGCAGCAATGTACTCGGCTTCCGTCGAAGACAAAGACACGATGCTCTGCGTCTTGCTACCATGGCTGACTACGGTACCTCCAACCGTCGTCGCCAACCCTGACACCGAACGCCTATCCTCCGTGTCGGCGTAGCTAGCGTCTACGTACACGGCCAGCCCTAACCCCGATCCCCGTTGGTAGGTGATGCCGAGGTCCCTCGTCCCTTTCAGGTAGCCGAGGATCTTCTGTATGGCATCCCAGTGCCGCTTCGCCGGGGCGTGGGCGTGGCGCGCTACCGCACGCACGGCGAACGAGACGTCTGGACGCGAGAAAGTCGACACCCACATCATGCTGCCGATGGCCTCCCTCACCGGCCACTCCCCTCCCTCTTCATCCTCTCGCTTCGGCCCTAGATCGGCACCAGGGGTAGCGGGGATGCGGGAAGTTGATTTCACATCGAAGCGTTCAACCATGCTGTCGATATACGCGGTTTGGGAGATTCTAAGAGTCCCAGCCTCTACATCTCTCTCGATGGCACACCCATCAAACCATTGACACTCTCCAAGGTTTTTGGTGGGAAATTTCTTGTTGAGAGAAGCAAGCAACTCCTCGCAATCCTCGTCAGACCCAGCCACCAAAATGTCATCCACATAAATCACGATAATCATCACCACGACTTCGTCTACCATCTTGCGGAAAACACACGGGTCCGCCTTGCATTGCTCGAACCCGTTCTCGACTAGCGTATCAGCAGCGTGGTACCCCCACTGCCTACCGCTCTGCTTCAGACCATAAATCGCACGCTCAGTCTTAACAATCTTATGCGATTTGTCCCCGCACCCAGCGGGCAGCCTCAGAAAAACCTCCTG